AGCTTTCCACAATGTGGAGTCACAGAGGTACATTTCGGACTCCTTACCTCTTCCGGTTCCCAAATTAGGTCCATTTGATGTTCCTCCCTTGGATTGAGACCGTTTCACTCATGTTTGTCCTCATAGTCATGTGTAGAACCTATTAATCCATGTTTGGGTAAGTATGGGTCCATCTAGTTCATCTTATACACTACAAGTGAGTTTCCACAATGTGGAGTCACAGAGGTACATTTCGGACTCCTTACCTCTTCCGGTTCCCAAATTAGGTCCATTTGATGTTCCTCCCTTGGATTGAGACCGTTTCACTCATGTTTGTCCTCATAGTCATGTGTAGAACCTATTAATCCATGTTTGGATAAGTATGGGTCCATCTAGTTCATCTTATACACTACAAGTGAGTTTCCACAATGTGGAGTCACAGAGGTACATTTCGGACTCCTTACCTCTTCCGGTTCCCAAATTAGGTCCATTTGATGTTCCTCCCTTGGATTGAGACCGTTTCACTCATGTTTGTCCTCATAGTCATGTGTAGAACCTATTAATCCATGTTTGGATAAGTATGGGTCCATCTAGTTCATCTTATACACTACAAGTGAGTTTCCACAATGTGGAGTCACAGAGGTACATTTCGGACTCCTTACCTCTTCCGGTTCCCAAATTAGGTCCATTTGATGTTCCTCCCTTGGATTGAGACCGTTTCACTCATGTTTGTCCTCATAGTCATGTGTAGAACCTATTAATCCATGTTTGGATAAGTATGGGTCCATCTAGTTCATCTTATACACTACAAGTGAGTTTCCACAATGTGGAGTCACAGAGGTACATTTCGGACTCCTTACCTCTTCCGGTTCCCAAATTAGGTCCATTTGATGTTCCTCCCTTGGATTGAGACCGTTTCACTCATGTTTGTCCTCATAGTCATGTGTAGAACCTATTAATCCATGTTTGGATAAGTATGGGTCCATCTAGTTCATCTTATACACTACAAGTGAGTTTCCACAATGTGGAGTCACAGAGGTACATTTCGGACTCCTTACCTCTTCCGGTTCCCAAATTAGGTCCATTTGATGTTCCTCCCTTGGATTGAGACCGTTTCACTCATGTTTGTCCTCATAGTCATGTGTAGAACCTATTAATCCATGTTTGGGTAAGTATGGGTCCATCTAGTTCATCTTATACACTACAAGTGAGTTTCCACAATGTGGAGTCACAGAGGTACATTTCGGACTCCTTACCTCTTCCGGTTCCCAAATTAGGTCCATTTGATGTTCCTCCCTTGGATTGAGACCGTTTCACTCATGTTTGTCCTCATAGTCATGTGTAGAACCTATTAATCCATGTTTGGATAAGTATGGGTCCATCTAGTTCATCTTATACACTACAAGTGAGTTTCCACAATGTGGAGTCACAGAGGTACATTTCGGACTCCTTACCTCTTCCGGTTCCCAAATTAGGTCCATTTGATGTTCCTCCCTTGGATTGAGACCGTTTCACTCATGTTTGTCCTCATAGTCATGTGTAGAACCTATTAATCCATGTTTGGATAAGTATGGGTCCATCTAGTTCATCTTATACACTACAAGTGAGTTTCCACAATGTGGAGTCACAGAGGTACATTTCGGACTCCTTACCTCTTCCGGTTCCCAAATTAGGTCCATTTGATGTTCCTCCCTTGGATTGAGACCGTTTCACTCATGTTTGTCCTCATAGTCATGTGTAGAACCTATTAATCCATGTTTGGATAAGTATGGGTCCATCTAGTTCATCTTATACACTACAAGTGAGTTTCCACAATGTGGAGTCACAGAGGTACATTTCGGACTCCTTACCTCTTCCGGTTCCCAAATTAGGTCCATTTGATGTTCCTCCCTTGGATTGAGACCGTTTCACTCATGTTTGTCCTCATAGTCATGTGTAGAACCTATTAATCCATGTTTGGATAAGTATGGGTCCATCTAGTTCATCTTATACACTACAAGTGAGTTTCCACAATGTGGAGTCACAGAGGTACATTTCGGACTCCTTACCTCTTCCGGTTCCCAAATTAGGTCCATTTGATGTTCCTCCCTTGGATTGAGACCGTTTCACTCATGTTTGTCCTCATAGTCATGTGTAGAACCTATTAATCCATGTTTGGATAAGTATGGGTCCATCTAGTTCATCTTATACACTACAAGTGAGTTTCCACAATGTGGAGTCACAGAGGTACATTTCGGACTCCTTACCTCTTCCGGTTCCCAAATTAGGTCCATTTGATGTTCCTCCCTTGGATTGAGACCGTTTCACTCATGTTTGTCCTCATAGTCATGTGTAGAACCTATTAATCCATGTTTGGATAAGTATGGGTCCATCTAGTTCATCTTATACACTACAAGTGAGTTTCCACAATGTGGAGTCACAGAGGTACATTTCGGACTCCTTACCTCTTCCGGTTCCCAAATTAGGTCCATTTGATGTTCCTCCCTTGGATTGAGACCGTTTCACTCATGTTTGTCCTCATAGTCATGTGTAGAACCTATTAATCCATGTTTGGATAAGTATGGGTCCATCTAGTTCATCTTATACACTACAAGTGAGTTTCCACAATGTGGAGTCACAGAGGTACATTTCGGACTCCTTACCTCTTCCGGTTCCCAAATTAGGTCCATTTGATGTTCCTCCCTTGGATTGAGACCGTTTCACTCATGTTTGTCCTCATAGTCATGTGTAGAACCTATTAATCCATGTTTGGATAAGTATGGGTCCATCTAGTTCATCTTATACACTACAAGTGAGTTTCCACAATGTGGAGTCACAGAGGTACATTTCGGACTCCTTACCTCTTCCGGTTCCCAAATTAGGTCCATTTGATGTTCCTCCCTTGGATTGAGACCGTTTCACTCATGTTTGTCCTCATAGTCATGTGTAGAACCTATTAATCCATGTTTGGATAAGTATGGGTCCATCTAGTTCATCTTATACACTACAAGTGAGTTTCCACAATGTGGAGTCACAGAGGTACATTTCGGACTCCTTACCTCTTCCGGTTCCCAAATTAGGTCCATTTGATGTTCCTCCCTTGGATTGAGACCGTTTCACTCATGTTTGTCCTCATAGTCATGTGTAGAACCTATTAATCCATGTTTGGATAAGTATGGGTCCATCTAGTTCATCTTATACACTACAAGTGAGTTTCCACAATGTGGAGTCACAGAGGTACATTTCGGACTCCTTACCTCTTCCGGTTCCCAAATTAGGTCCATTTGATGTTCCTCCCTTGGATTGAGACCGTTTCACTCATGTTTGTCCTCATAGTCATGTGTAGAACCTATTAATCCATGTTTGGATAAGTATGGGTCCATCTAGTTCATCTTATACACTACAAGTGAGTTTCCACAATGTGGAGTCACAGAGGTACATTTCGGACTCCTTACCTCTTCCGGTTCCCAAATTAGGTCCATTTGATGTTCCTCCCTTGGATTGAGACCGTTTCACTCATGTTTGTCCTCATAGTCATGTGTAGAACCTATTAATCCATGTTTGGATAAGTATGGGTCCATCTAGTTCATCTTATACACTACAAGTGAGTTTCCACAATGTGGAGTCACAGAGGTACATTTCGGACTCCTTACCTCTTCCGGTTCCCAAATTAGGTCCATTTGATGTTCCTCCCTTGGATTGAGACCGTTTCACTCATGTTTGTCCTCATAGTCATGTGTAGAACCTATTAATCCATGTTTGGATAAGTATGGGTCCATCTAGTTCATCTTATACACTACAAGTGAGTTTCCACAATGTGGAGTCACAGAGGTACATTTCGGACTCCTTACCTCTTCCGGTTCCCAAATTAGGTCCATTTGATGTTCCTCCCTTGGATTGAGACCGTTTCACTCATGTTTGTCCTCATAGTCATGTGTAGAACCTATTAATCCATGTTTGGATAAGTATGGGTCCATCTAGTTCATCTTATACACTACAAGTGAGTTTCCACAATGTGGAGTCACAGAGGTACATTTCGGACTCCTTACCTCTTCCGGTTCCCAAATTAGGTCCATTTGATGTTCCTCCCTTGGATTGAGACCGTTTCACTCATGTTTGTCCTCATAGTCATGTGTAGAACCTATTAATCCATGTTTGGATAAGTATGGGTCCATCTAGTTCATCTTATACACTACAAGTGAGTTTCCACAATGTGGAGTCACAGAGGTACATTTCGGACTCCTTACCTCTTCCGGTTCCCAAATTAGGTCCATTTGATGTTCCTCCCTTGGATTGAGACCGTTTCACTCATGTTTGTCCTCATAGTCATGTGTAGAACCTATTAATCCATGTTTGGATAAGTATGGGTCCATCTAGTTCATCTTATACACTACAAGTGAGTTTCCACAATGTGGAGTCACAGAGGTACATTTCGGACTCCTTACCTCTTCCGGTTCCCAAATTAGGTCCATTTGATGTTCCTCCCTTGGATTGAGACGTTTCACTCATGTTTGTCCTCATAGTCATGTGTAGAATCGCCGATCTCCTGAATCCCCGATATCTCTCAATCTTACCCATGGCGAGAAGATCCGGATCGATCCTCAGCCGCCTTCTGGCGAATCCACCTCCTTCTCCATTCACCGCCCCGACCCGATCCATCACCTACATGCCTCGACCCGGCGACGGAGCCCCACGCACCGTAACCCTGATCCCCGGCGACGGAATCGGACCCTTAGTGACCGGAGCCGTCGAGCAGGTCATGGAGGCGATGCACGCGCCGGTGCATTTCGAGCGATACGAGGTTCGCGGCAACATGAGGAAAGTCCCCGAGGAAGTAATCGAATCCGTCAAGAGGAACAAGGTCTGCCTCAAAGGTGGATTAGCGACTCCCGTTGGTGGAGGAGTCAGCTCCTTGAATATGCAATTGAGGAAAGAGCTCGACATCTTCGCTTCCCTCGTCAATTGCATCAACGTCCCTGGATTGGTGACGCGTCACGAGAACGTCGACATCGTCGTCATCAGAGAGAACACTGAAGGAGAGTACTCGGGACTCGAGCACGAGGTTGTTCCTGGTGTCGTCGAGAGCCTTAAGGTAAACCCAAATTTCAATACTTTGTGATCTGTGATGATTGAAAGGAGCTCGCTTTAGTCAAAAGGAGCTTGCTTTAGTCACTTTTTCGTTGGATCATTGTTTCTGATCTGTGATGATTGAAAGGAGCTTGCTTTAGTCAAAATTGTGATGATCTTGTTGGTAATTTAGGTGATAACGAAGTTTTGTTCAGAGAGGATTGCGAGATATGCGTTTGAGTATGCCTACTTGAACAATAGGAAGAAAGTGACTGCTGTTCATAAAGCCAACATTATGAAGCTTGCGGATGGTTTGTTCTTGGAGTCTTGCAGAGAGGTTGCTAAAAACTATCCTGCGATTACGTACAACGAAATCATCGTTGACAATTGCTGTATGCAGCTTGTTGCTAAGCCTGAGCAATTTGATGTCATGGTATGTGTTTTTGTTCTTTTTCCGTGTTAAAAATCCAAACTTTGAGGAGGAAAACAGAGTAAATGACATATCTTTCTTCTAAAATGTGAAAAACAAACCTACCATTTGTTTGTTTCAGGTGACGCCTAATTTGTATGGTAACCTTGTAGCAAACACAGCAGCTGGAATAGCCGGAGGCACTGGAGTGATGCCAGGAGGTTTGTCCATAGTTATAACCTGATATCATCTGCTGGTTTCTTGAATTTGGCTCTGAGAAATGACATGTATTGGGGTTTGTTGTTGTTGTTGTTGGTAAAGGCAATGTAGGTGCGGAACATGCGATATTCGAGCAAGGAGCATCAGCAGGGAATGTGGGGAATGATAAGATGGTGGAGCAGAAGAAAGCTAATCCGGTGGCTTTACTTCTCTCATCGGCTATGATGCTTAGGCATCTCAGGTTTCCGACTTTTGCTGATCGGCTTGAGACCGCAGTGAAGCAAGTGATACAAGAAGGCAAATGGCGAACGAAGGATCTTGGAGGAGACTGCACTACGCAGGAAGTTGTTGATGCTGTCATTAAAGCTCTCGAGTGAAGTCAAGCCATGTGAGCCTGCCTTGTTCTTCTTCTTTTTAAAGTAAACTAAGAGAAAAGTTTTGGTTTCTCTGTTTTCCATTACTATTGTCTTGGCTTGATTGATTTTATTTATTCAATTTTTGTCTTTTGATTTAACATTCGACCTCGCGTTAGAGCATTGATAAGCTCTATGGCTACGGAATAAAATCAATAAAGAGAAGATATTTTGTTATATTTGTTTGCATCAAAAATGGGTAAAAACACCAATCAAATAACTTGTTTCACAAGGCAAGAGTAATCTTGGCTATTTTAAAAAGTGGTTTAACTTTAGATTTACGGATACTCGCTGGACCAGATAGATAAAGCATATAAAGAACCAAAGATGACAAATTGACAATAGACACCGTATAAGACAACAGAGCAGCTATGAATGCAACCATTTTGCTATATTAAGGGTTTTACAGGGAACGGCGCGTAAAGACCAACGATTTTGTACCTCAGATATATTAAGAAGAAAGCTAAAAGGATCAATCTTTCCGTGTCTCATACGAGTACAATCCGTAGGAACATTTCACAACACAATTTCTAACTTCTCTGTTTTTTTCCTCTGTTTCCGCCTCATTGAAGTCTCTCAACTATAAAATACATCCGGACTCCATCATACTTTTGATTCAATAACAACGATCTCTGAAGAAATTTATTGGAGAGTAAGAAGAAAACAAAAACAAAAATTTATATTTGAGAAAGTTTGCTCTGTTTTCTTGATTGTGAAGATTGAAATGGCATCGAATAGCGACGCAAGGCCTCTACCGAAATTCGGGGATTGGGATGTGAATGATCCGGCGACGGCTGAGGGATTCACCGTTATATTTAGCAAAGCCGGAGAGGATAAGAAAACGGGTCGGAGCACCAGCAAAACAACTTCGCAGAGGAAACAAGACGCTAAACCAGCGGTCAAGAAATGGCTCTGTTTTACCTTTTCATGATTTTGGTGTTTGATTTAAATTAACCGTTTGAGAATAGCATTGAGAAACTTTTGTCGTAGAGCTTTTTCCATTTGTTTAGCATTTCTCTTTATAATATGCAGAGTTATTTATATTTTGAAATGTTGAAGAGAAGAAAAATTGATAGCCTGCCTCTTGTATATCCTTGTTTGATGTTTGTTTCATTTGAAGTTTAATACAAGATTTTGGAAACTCTTCTTGTTACGATTCAGACAAAGAAACTTTCTTGCAATACCCTCCTCTAGAATATCTCATATTTCTCTATGTAGTTACAAACGAAGAGAAACTTGCATTACAAGAAATCGCTCTTTTGCTCCAAAGTGGATGAATCAGGACTTATTCATCAATAATGTCTTGTGTATATAAGCAAATCTCACCACAAACGTTTGAAATATGATATGCTCTTTGGTAAATCAGACAACAACATCTGATCAAGGATTGTTCTGTTTTTTTTTTCTCGTTTGTGAAGCAAAGGTAAGTGATACGGTAATCTCCGTTGATTACTTTGTCATAAGGAAAAAATACTAAGTAGCCAAGTGCAGAGTATTGTGAGATTTCAGTGAAATTAGATTGCTAATCATTGAGAGCCTGAAGAAAGGACAATGTTCAAGGGATCAATTAGAGAAGATTTGCAAAGGACAAGTGGTCAACATTGTGGTAATACTCTATTCATTTTGATGACTCCCTTCGAATCATTTGGAAGAATAAATTCCTTCTTTTTTGTTTATTCCTCCTCTCTTCTGTCATGTTATCTACATATTTGTATATTACAACTTCTGTCTCCTTGTCTCCTATTAAGATAATAGGAAGGCTACAGAAATAAATGCACACATGAGTAGGAAATGAATCGTACCATGACCTTATTGAACAAGATTCTCCTACTAACCCATTATTATTTAAGACCCTAGATTCTTGGACCTATAATGGCTTAATGTTTTTGTGCCTATATTTGTTTTAAATGTTTAAATCTCTCCTTGGAAAACGTTTCTCTGAGCTGTCGTGTTTTTTTCTTGATCAAACAGATTTTTGAGTTTGACAGCAATGATGAAAGAGGGCAAAAGAGACAAGAAAGGAGACAAGATAAGCATAATAATCAAGAGAGCTTGACGTTGTTGGTTTCATGACCACATAGAGATGATTAAATTAAGCCAAAGGGGATAATTGTGCAAAGATCCTCACTTTATTAGGTTTCGACACATGCCCAAATTGCTCTTACGTTAGAATATTTTAAAAGGTTCTTTTGGATTTGTCTGTAAAACGTTCCTCGCTATTATATAATCGTTGGAGTCTCTGAACCTTAACCAACCAAAACTCATTTCAAAGTTTTTACAGCTCTCTTTCTTCTTTCTTCTTTCTCTTTAGAGCTAGAAACAAAAATGTCAGAATCATCTTCCTCTTCGCATGTACCAAGTAGGTCTATTAGCTTGCCTACAAGACTAATACATCCAAAAGCACAGAGAGTTGAAGAAGAGCTAAAGAAGATTCAAGATTTAAACTCTTCTTCATCTGCTTCTTCTAGAATTCATCTAGGGCTTTCCCGGCTCGTCGAGCTCTATGACTTTGTCAATGAACAAGTCATATGTTCTCCACAAGGCCAACAAGCTCTTCGTCCTTCTCACAACGCTAAACTCGTGGAAGATGCTCTTGATGACTCAGTCTTGTTACTTGATGTAACTGATATCACAAGAGACTTGATAGGGACATTCGTGGAGCAAATCCAAGATCTTCAATCCACTCTACGTAGACGCGGAGGAGATCTCTCGATCATCCAATCCGACATCCGTGCTTACATTAGCTTTCAGAAGAAATTCAAGAACGCAGCAGTTAGACAACTTAAAGCCCTTGCAAGAACACAAGCAAAGAAGAAATCTCCGGTTGTTAAACGATCCGGTGATCTCGATCAACATTCTTCTATGGTTTCCAACATTCTAAGGCAATCAAACATGTCGACGATCTCTGTTTTAAAGTCACTCTTGCAGTTTCTTTCTTCTTCTAGTAAGAGCCAGAAGAAGAATGGTGAAATCGGATGTGTAGAGAACTCGATGATCCGTTCTTTCTACGGAAGAATCGTCGGTAAGAAGATTGTGAGGGTCATTGAATCGAAAACGATGCTCGGGAGATTAGCAATGCTTAATGTGAGTTTTGAAGCAATTAAGGATGAGTTATGTTACTTATCAAGACGACTTATTCAACATAGAGTGTCTCTTTTGAACATTGTTACTCCATGAAGACAATAAGAAAACAAGAGTTTGTATATTTTGTGAAAAGCCAAGTTTTGTAGAGATGAGTTATTATAGAATCGCGCATTTGACTCTCCATTTTCATTATAGTTTTTTGTATCTTGGATGATTTACATCACATGATCCGGTAAAGAGTTATAAGTTGAATTAAACCGTATCAAACCGGATTATAAAAAGAACATCAAATTGGAGACTGTTTACATTATTCTTAAACCTTTGTGGTGCATCATCACCATCATCACATCCTGAAGTGAGCTGAAAAAAGCTTACCAAACTCTTTATTTCTTGGTTCTTGTTATGCCAACGAGTCATTTGTCCAAGTTATATGGTTTCAACTTTCAAGTTTGGAAATATACACTATGGTGAGATTTTATTTTGAAAAATATCCTCCTTTTTTTTTTAAACTACACTTTTTATAAAGTGAAATGACTAAATTATCATACTTTGAATATCTGATTAACTTAATTAAACGAAACTAAAATAATAAATACATAAGATTTTATTTGATTTTGATTTTGTCTCATTTTAAGATGATAAACTAGTTATCTGTATAAATTTTATTAAAATTTATATATTTGTTTTTGAACCAATAGTTTGATGAAAAGTAGATTAATATAGGTACGAGATTAAACTCATTTATATAAGACTCCAAAATAGTTAATTTTCTTTAAAGATAAACTTTTAACAAAAGATAGATTTATATACTTTTATTTTTTCAATAATTAACATATAATAATATTAATAAAATTGACATATTTAAATAAGATGAAAAATTCTTTTTACATATTTAAATTTAAATTATCTATTATTGCTATGTTTAAATAAGGTCAAAAAGTCTTTTTACATATTAAAAAATGTAGTTTTCAAAACCATAAAAAAACTAGGGTGTTTTTCAAATATTAATTCCTAATTAAGGCATTATGCCAAGAATCTCCATAAATTAAAGGCATTTATAAGCAACTGATAAACTAAACTAAATCAAGTAAATACGCTATTATGAAGCAAGTCCAGTTATCCATTTTATCAACAGATTTGAGTACAATTTAGGAAAAAGCGGTTATGATTAAGTCAGATTCAACATTTTGTGTGTGTTTGACTTCATTGTATTCAACACTTTATAAAACGGAGATGTATAGTTTCATGGATTCAAATACTAGAAAAAAAATAGCTAATAACTAAGGAAACAAAGGATTTGGGCACAATTTAGATATATGGAAGATACGCATCATTATATTGTGTATATAAATGTGATGAAACACATACCACCTACACTACCTAGAACATATACATTCAATAGATAATTATCATCGTCATTTCACAATGGTACATATCAAATATTTTATAATGATTTTCTTGATAATATTATATGTGTTTAGTCTAACGTTTGTTTCTTTTGTGTTTCTAGGAAAGGATTCTACGTCTCTCGATCTTAATACTTCTCTTTTGTTCTAATCTTGTAAACGGCGAAAACTATAACGTACTCGATTTTGGTGCAAAAGGAGATGGTCAAACTGATGATTCAAAAGTATAATATCATGTTTAATCAAATACATTTATATGTTTCTTTCTAAAACTTGTTAAACAACTATTTTTTCATACGTTTTTATTCTTTAATTAAATTTTGTAATTGTAAAACAGGCTTTTATAGATACGTGGAACACTGCATGTCAGGGGCGGAGCCAATAAGGCATTTAGGTGGTCTAATGACCCCCAATTAATTCTTAAATTTTATTGAATTTAGGTATATAATTATAATTTAAAATGATTATTTAGTTAGTTTTTAATGATTTTGACCCCTATTAGTTATAAATTTCCAAATTTTGACCCTGTTATATATTTTTTCTAGATCCGCCCCTGCTGCATGTGGTGGGGAAGAAGGCATACAAGCACTTTTTATACCTGCTGGCAAAACATTTTTACTTCAGCCTATACAATTCCAAGGTCCATGTAAATCTAATGCTATAGAAGTTCAGGTATGTAGACGACTAATTTACAACTTAATTTATCAGATAGATACAACTATGTTTAATCTTTTGAATATTTGAAGTTGGATGGCATCATTGTCGCACCTAGCAGCATGGAAGCATGGTCCGACCCCAAGTCTCCAATGTGGATTAGTTTTTCAAACGTAGTTGGACTATCGATAATTGGCTTGGGAACGATTAATGGTGGTGGTTCGCCCTTTTGGGAGGTAACAGTTTTTTATATCATAATTTTCCAATACTTTATATATATATATATCATCGTAACATCAGTATCATGGGGTTTTTTTTTTTTTTTTTTTTTTTTTTCTTTTTTTCCAGCAAAAACTAAAAGCTTCTGAACGGCCAGCAGTGAGTATATCTACTAAATTTATTGTGATATATTTTTTCTTTTTTTGAAGATTTTTTTATCGGCTATGATTGATTGCTATTAAACGTTTTTCTTGCAGGCATTACATATTAACAAATGTGATAACCTCAAGATAAACGGGATAACCTCGATCGATAGTCCAAGACACCATATATCAATCAATTCATGCAATGGTGCTGCAATATCGCAAATAAATCTCTTTGCACCCGAGGACAGTCCCAACACCGATGGGATTGATCTAAGTGACTCGACAAATATCAACATATTTGACTCTAAAATTAAAACTGGTGTGCACACTTAACTACACTTATAGAATATAAAGGATGGCATAGCAATCATTTGAGTTTCAATCATTAATTTTCCAGGGGACGATTGCATAGCAATCAACACAGGAAGTATCAATATCAACATCACAAATATTAACTGTGGACCTGGTCATGGAATAAGGTAAATTGTGATATTAATTAATTTATTGGATTACATGTCACCATTTATAATGAAAAGAAAGGTTTTCTTTGCAAACAGAAAAAGATCGAGGAAAATTCACTAATTTAAAAATAATTGATCAACAGTGTGGGAAGCCTAGGAGCTAATGGAGAAACAGCGACAGTTAGTAATGTTCAAGTGACTCACTGCACTTTCAATCAGACGTTGAATGGAGCTAGGATCAAGACATGGCCGGTATGTTTTCTGTCTTTTATACTGTTTTCTCTTAGATTAAATATAATAATATCAAAATATTTAAATATTTTTTATATGTATAACTTTAATTTAAAATTTTAAGGGTGGACAAGGATATGCAAGAAACATAAGTTTTGAGGACATCACACTCATAAACTCAAAAAATCCAATTGTAATCGACCAGAATTATAGAGACAAAGGACTTCTTGATGGCACAGAGGTAAATCTTAATTTATAGCTTTAATAATATACATATGTACATGTACATATACAGTATGACTAAATTGAGCATAATGTATGTGCTTTGTTCAATAGGAATCAGCAGTGGCGATTAGCAGTATAAAATTTATCGGTTTTAATGGAACAACGTCAAGCAAAAATGCTATAGCGCTTAATTGTAGTGAAATTACACGATGCACAGACGTCATCATGGACGGAATCGATATTTCTACTTCTACGGGGAATGGAGAAAAACCCACAGTTGAATGTCAATATGTTGATGGAACGTCTAGCGATCTTAATTTGATGCAGGAGTGTTTCCAAAATAGCACGATTGCTTAATTGAAAAAAAAAATGTCAACAGAAATTCTACCCACATTTTGTCTGTTATAGAATGATTTTTTTTTCTTTCAACAAAATGGAATGTTACTGTCAAATCAGTATATATATAGGTTGAGATTTCTTTACCCAAAAACACAACTAATACAAAAAATATGTTATATACATTCATGATAATGTAATTCGGTTTTGTGGGAACCCATAATTGCTTTCATAAGTCATAACAAATCGTTTTGTTATAGAGAAAAATATTTGCTTCTATAATTAATTAGTTTTAAATCTTAAAATTTTGTTTCTTTTTTTATGCGTAATTTTGTGAAAGATTACCACATATCATAATCTCCTAATACCAAATAAACCTGTGTATTGCTTTAAAATTAATTATTTTGTCCAGCATTTTAATAAGAAGGATATATATAAGATCATGTATAGAAAAACCAGAAAAAGAATATAACTAGTATTTAAGCTAGGAACAATTTAGGCACAATCTAGATATATGGAAGGTGTACAATGTGCATGATTCAGATACGTAGATGCACATCACTGTGTATATATACCTGATAAAAGAGTACTGTACATACAGATCAATAGATTATCATCGTCACCATTTCACCATGGTACATATCAAGTTAATCATTTCTTGATAATATTTCTTTATCTCTTCTGTTTATTCTAACATTTTATTTTCTTTCTTTTACAAAAAAAAAAAAACATTTTATTTTCTTTGTGTCTTTTAGGCCATCGTCAAATTCTGTATTTCGATCTTGATAAGTTTCCTCTGTTTTGCTCTTGTAAACGGTCAAAACTACAACGTACTCAATTTTGGTGCTAAAGGAGATGGTCAAACTGATGATTCAAAGGTAAATTATGTTTTCATTTCCTTTTGTCTTTATAGCAAAACATATATCATTTTTATCGAATACATGTATCTTTGTCAAAAGTAATTAAATAATAACTTTTCAATTTTCATAAGCCATTTAATTAACGTTTTCAATTGCTTGTGTAAAACAGGCGTTTGTGAAAACGTGGAGCGCTGCATGTGGCGGGGGAGAAGATATAAAAACACTTCTTATTCCTGCTGGCAAAACCTTTTTACTCCAACCTATCGTGTTCCAAGGACCATGTAGATCTAAATCTATTAAAGTTCAGGTATGTATAATGTACAAACTTATCTGATAAATATAGTTATGCTCCAAGAGAAACGTCCATAACGATTGGTTTTTTTCCTTTTGAATATTTGAAGTTGGATGGCATAATTGTCGCACCTAGCAACAAAGAAGCATGGTCCAATCTCAAATCTCAAAGGTGGATCGGTTTTTCCACTGTGTCTGGTCTAACAATCGTTGGTTCAGGAACGATTAATGGGCGTGGTTCGTCTTTTTGGGAGGTGACGATTTGATAGATCATACGTTTTCTAGTTTTTCTAATGTAGTCATCATAACTTTGATCTCATGGAAATTCTTTTGATTTTCAGCAAAAGTTGAAAGCTTCTCAACGACCTACAGTGAGTATTTCTACTATGTTTACTATGTTCTATTGATGAAAACTGCACGTGGTGGTTTGTTTCCCGATTGCGATCGCCACAATTTTATTTTTAGATTATGTACACTGTTTTTTTTTTGCAGGCATTGCATATTACCCAATGTGCCAACTTAAGGATAAGCGGAATAACCTCGATTAATAGTCCAAAAAATCATATATCAATCCATCAATGCAAAAATGTTGCAATATCGAATGTAAATCTCATTGCACCTGAGGAAAGTCCCAACACTGATGGAATTGATATAAGTGACTCGACTAGCGTCAACATATTTGATTCTACAATTCGAACTGGTACGTATGTGTATATAAATTATTTATGATTTTACTTTTTTTGCGTACTACATAGATCAGTCTACCAGATTACGATCTTGTGGAGTATATTACAAAATATAAAAAAATGACAAAATAATCATATGAATTTTAAATCACAGGAGATGATTGTATAGCAATCAACACCGGAAATTTCAATATCAACATAACAAGGATTAATTGTGGACCTGGTCATGGAATAAGGTATTTCATTCTATTAGTTATAACAGAAAGGCTTTCTTGTAAATTACTGTAAGTCGAGTGAGTTCGTTTACTTTCATGTATTTGGATAACAGTGTGGGAAGTCTAGGAGCCGATGGAGAAAAGGCTGCAGTTAGTAATGTTCAAGTGACTAACTGCACTTTCAATCAGACGACGAATGGAGCTAGAATCAAGACATGGCCGGTATTTTTTTTTTTTTTCATTTACACTAATTATCATTTCTTGTAACTAAACTAATTATATTGGTAATACAAAAGATGTTCTAAACTTATATTTGATTTTTCTTATGTAGGGTGGAGCAGGATATGCAAGAAACATACGTTTTGAAAACATCACACTCATTGACGTCAAAAATCCAATTATAATCAACCAACAATATATAGACAAAAGGCGTCTTAACGATGCAGAGGTATATAATGAATCTAGCTTTATTTATATAATTATATAAATACTTGAAAGTATGAAAACTGAGAAATGTGTGTTTTTGTGTTCAATAGGATTCAGCGGTGGCGATTAGTAATGTAATATTTGTCGGCTTCCATGGAACGACGTCGAGTAAAGATGCTATAACGCTTGACTGTAGTGAAACCACACGTTGTGAAGGCGTCGTTATAGATGGAATCAATATTACGATGGCGGATGGAGAAAAACCTAAATTTGCTTGCAACAATGTTGATGGAAACTCTGACGACACTAGCTTGATGCGTGGTTGTTTTAAAAATGTTTAATATTGTTTTATTATATTTGATATAGATGCCATTTGTAACCTACCAGAACTTTGAGCTATTTTAATCTTTGTTCCAATAAAAAAAAATTGAGCCATTTGAGAGAGAGTATGCTAATTGCCTAATTTTCCAGTGATATTCGAGGATAAAGCTAAATTTGTTGCTGTTGTTGTGGGTGATTGTTCTTGAATATCACTGGAAAATCTTACCTTTTCAACTTGATTGTTGCAGAATAACAGAACACTTCAGACACCTCTTTCTTCTAGCTAGATCTAATTCGATTGATAATTGGTGTAAGATTCTTTCAGCAAGATCATTGATAGTGACGTGGAGCCTATAAATATCCTTTAGAAAATGGCTTAAAAAAAGAATGTCTTTTTAGATTTTGATATATAAGTACTTAAGAACAGTAACATAACGTGATAGAACATGTAATTATTGGTGGCTTAGTGCCCACAAATAATTATATTAATATTAAGCTTTTACACGTGTACCTGGTGGAGGGGAGTATTACAATATACGGTGAGGCTAATCATATGAATACTTTGTGATACGTACAAATTAATCATATACTGTATACACTTAACTAATACACGTGTATTAATGCATTGAAAAAAAAGTATTGTGGCACTCAACTACTCAAGAGATTCAGAGTGTCAGAGTAACCATTGTTGGAAGATTTACTTTTTTGGGAAATTTAAACATAACGTCTCACTAAGGCACACTAAAAAAAACGTCTCACTTGTCAAAATAATATCTCTTGTGACAGAGAGTACAGTTTCACTTCATATTCATTTTATACAATCACAAAAATTTGGGTTTTTTTTTTTTTTTGACAAAAATTTAGGTATTTACATAAACTACTAAGTTACATGTCTTTTCTTCCCCCACAAGGCCACAGACATGTTAATACTATCAGATAGTAATAGACTTTAGACTTTTGAGTTAAGGGTAGAACTTTAAAAATACATATATTGTGGTCAACTGTATGGTTTCGATGAATTCTTATGATTGGCTAATAAGTGTAAAAGTTAAAAAAAAAAAAAAAGAAGAAGATAATTCCACGATTATGAGAATCAGTCAATCATCAGATACAAAGTCAGTGAAATCTCGCAAGCAAATCAACTAAAAAGTCAAAAGCTCGTGCACCTCTCATACGTGTCGTAATGTGAGAAGCCATGCAGAGGGAAATTACAATATAAAAACATTATATTATTTTCTTGTGCAAAAATCTTTTCGTAATAAGCAACCTACAAAATACGATTGGATAATAGAGGGGCGTATACAACATATGGTTGAGGAAGATCTGGATCTCGTTACCTACCGAGACAATTTTAAGACCGTCGATACTTTTCAATTAAATAATCGAAAAGTCTATTGATAATGTGGCGAAACCGGAGGCATCACAGACGATGACTCATCAGGCTTATCTCTGTGGCCAAATAATTTGACCAATATAATAGCCCGACAGCTCAGAGATTCACAGATTTGCCAGTAATAATCGGACCAATCAAATTTTAAATTCAATTATTGTTGAAGTTTTGTTGGTTGATGACAAACCCTATGCTATATATATAGGCATGTGCTAGGCAACTTGAATAAAGCAGATCGATCAAAGAAGAAAGAAAAGAAAGGTCAAAAACACCTTATCAAAAAGAAAGAAAACACACAGAAGGATAGAGAAAAATGTCGAATTTGATCATCAAGAATCAACTAAGATCTATAAGTTTACCTTCAAGATCGCATCCAAGCACGACGGGGATCGAGGAAGCTCTTAACAAGGTTAAAGCGATTAGCACCACGACGGGTTCGTCAGAATCAATCTTGATGGGCTTGGCTGGTTTGGAGGAGCTATACAAATGTACCGAGGAGTTTTTGAAAATGGGTTCGACGCAACGTGTTATGTCTTCTGATGGATCCGAGTTTATGGAGGAGATGCTTGATGGGTCTTTGAGGCTAATGGATATATGCAGCGTCTCAAGGGATCTCATGGTGGATACTCATGAGCATGTTCGTGGTGTTCAGTCATGTGTGAGAAGAAAGAAAGTAGCCGGAGGAGGAGGAGACCAACTCGATGTCGCTGTCTCCGGCTATGTCGGGTTTAGAAAGAACATGAGAAAAGAAGCGAAGAAGCTTCTTGGATCCTTGAAGAAAATCGATGGAGAGTCATGTACATCATTATCGGTAAACAATGGCCAACAAGATGAACATCTTGTGGCGGTTATAGATGCCATGAGGAGAGTGGTTTCGGTTAGTGTCTCGGTGTTAAAGTCGTTCTTGGAGTTCTTGTCGGGACGACAAAGTAACATAAAGAGCAAGTTGGCTTCGGTACTAAAGAAAAAGAAGGATCACCATGACGCTTCCAAGAACGAGTTAGAGAGTTTGGATTCCGCCATAAGCTGCTCTTGCGATGACCTACCAAATAAGCTTGAGGAGGTTGAAGTGAGCATTGATGGATTCGAAAAGAATCTAGAAGGATTATTTCGAAGGTTGATTAGAACACGAGCCTCACTTCTCAACATAATCTCTTGTTAGATATACATGTATGCAAAGTAAACCTTTTTGGCATTCGACTTTAGAGAATTTGCCAAAGGGATACATTATAGACGCATAGATACGATTAATTGATCAGATAAATGTAGAAATATTTTTAAAAAGAAAACAGATACTAACATTGTAGATGCAAGATTTTGTGTGAAAAAATGTTATGGAGGAAAATTATACATCAAAGGAAAAGCAA